ACCGGAACTCCGACTTTCCGAGCAGCAGAGCACACTTATCTGCTTAAAAATGGCTTTTTCGGGGATTATGAATTATTAAAAAGTAACAGAGAGTTGCCACTGTCTAAAATTCTTTGGAAAATGAATAAATGTGTTCAGAACTACACGAGAAATAGTTTAGAACTCGTAGAACTATCGAAAATCCGTCAGCGTCTTAGTGTTATGATAAATACATATTTTTTTTCTATCGGCTGATTTTGGTATAAAATCGCCAGAACTATTATTAAAAAGTATCAGGAACTATAGAATTCGACTGCATGCGACAAGAACTCTCTTTTATTTTTGATCTGCTAGAAAATGATCTGCTACGGGAAGTTAGCAGATCATTTTTTCGATCGACTGTTTTTGGTTTAAATCAACAGAACTATTATTAAAAAGTATCAAGAACTACAGAACTCGACTGCATGCGATAAGAACTCCTTTTTATTTTTGATCTGCTGGGAAATGATATGCCAACTTCACAATGCCAAAAAACAGACCAACTTGTAGAGGCCCTCCACCACCCCCGCCGAATTCTTATCGGCGGTCCTCTTTTGTTTACGATAAAATTGTGTTTTTATATTTTTATAACCTAATAAATAATATAATATAATTAATATAACTTAATTATCCAATTTCTACCTACCCGTGTTTCAACATAATAAACCTACAAATTTAACCGCGACGCGATTTTCTATGGGTTTGACTTGGAGTTTAACACGCCTGCGGGATTTAATAGCGGTTTCACTCTTGCACATATGCGAGAATATATGTATATAGAAGTATAACCCACCCGAATTGTAACAAATCAAAAGAAATCAAAGTATACTTCGTACAGCACCTTACTTAGATACTGTACTCCATCAGAGTGGCCAATATTGACCAATTACGTAGTCGCATTCCTTCGTTGGGCCAGATTGAACCTACCATTCGTTGCTCCCGGCCATACAATCTGGTCATTTTGACCAGAGATCAGGAAGGAAGAAAACTCCTTCCGTTGTCGGTTATCGTGACCAACAAATATTTCGTATGGTTCGAATATACGAGTGTCGATCGTATCGAAAAATGCATGGCCACGAGAAGTCAATTAAAGAAGAATATTAATTCAAAAACTTTACTGTATATACGAATAAAATTTATTTTTACTGTCGTTTATTCAAAAATATTGACCATTTCTTCGTAACTTGATCTTTGAATTCGAAATTTAAGTACACATAGAAAAAAATTTACTTCGCGTTAGAGTGATTTTAATCATCATTCACGATAAATTAAAATGTATAACATGGATATAAAATTAAACAATTAATAATTTCTTGAAAATTTTTCTAGATAAACCGTTCGCGAAAACCGACCGCGAAAACCGACCGCGAAAATACAAAGATGCGTGTGACTATGCATGTATTCATGCCAGACGCATCTTGAAAGTACATATATCACGTATGTACATACATACGTACATACACAGAATAAATGATGTGAGATCCAGAAAAACGAAACTTCTTTCATGATTTCAACCGATATTATAATTGCATATTATAATTATAAATTAATAACTGGAAATAATATATAAAAAGAAGTTGAAATTTCAGTGTTCTCGACTAAATATATTCGAATCTCACGTCATGTTATTTTATTTTGTATATCAATTCGTTAATAAAAATGGATAGGCTACATGAATAATGTTCGCCATATTTCGCTTAAGTTCTGTGATGTTATTAAACTATTCTCAATATGGAAAATGAGCCCGACATACTCTGATTTGTAGAGCTCTCCAAAGATTCAATATATTAAATAAATAATTTAATTGCCGTTAGCATTTGAAGCCTGTCCATTTTAAGGCAACGAATATACAAGATATATAAATCTATGATCTACGAGCTACGTTTTACGAGATATGTATATTCGTTGCCCCAATAAAAAATTTTCGGACTCACCGACCAGACGCGCAGCAGCGGATTTTATCTACGTCGATTCTGTAACATAGAATTATAAAATTAACATTAAAAGAGAGTATACAAGAAAACCAATATTAATGAAAATAATTTTTAAGGCCCGGTTTCACCAGACGTCGCTTAACTTTAATCTTACTTTAATTCACGTTTGTCTCTTTCTGAAATGACAGTTGGAAAGAGATAAAAAACGAATTAAGCTAAGCTTAAAGTTAAACAACGTTGGCGAAATCGGGCCTCAATTATTTAAAATAAACGAGAGGAAGATAATTTTATATGAAATAAAAAAACACTTACCATAAAGTTGCTCCGCCGTTGCCTGATGCCTCCTCGGCCGCCGCTTCCTCTCAGAGTCCTCCGTTTCGAACTGGCACAACACAACACTCGCGAAAGAGGTAACTCACGACACGGCACTCCCGGCGGAAATACGAGCCGAATCCGGCGAGACGACGTCGCGTGAAATGACGAGAAGACGTTCGGGCGGGAAGGACTCGCGGAGATGCGCGAGGTTAACTTGACGCGCGTCGCGTTCGACGGGGCGATTTCGCGCGAGTGTTTCTGTCGCCGCGCACCACGCGTGGAAAACTCGTACGTCACTGCACGCGCGAGGATATACTAATAATTATTTTACTATGCAATTATAGTTTCAAATACCACATATTTTTCTATCAGTGCACAGCACCTTACTCAGGTACTCCATCAGAGTGGCCGATATTGGCCACTTACCTCGTCGTATTTAGTCCTTCGTTGGGCCAGATTGGACATGCCTTTCGGTGCCTCCCGGCCACTTCACTCGCGAATTAATACTTCCGTTTGTAAAGGCACTTGTCGCTGTCACTGTATCCACGTGTGCCACTTCACTCGCGAATTTACACTGTCGTTTCTAAAGTCACTTCTCACTGTCACTGCATCCTAAAATGCGACTTTACTCGCGAATTTACACTTCTGTTTGTAAAGGCACTTGTCACTGTCACTGTATCCAAATGCCACTTCTTCGGTTTTGACTGTGTCCGATTTCCGCTACGAACTGTTCGATTACATCGAACATCGATGGCAAATCGCGGGAATTCAAGGAACGCACGATGATATCAATCCCTGATTATTCGTAGAGAGCGATCGCGGTTTCTTCCCGCACTTGTCGCGAATGCGTATCAAATAAGAATAATACGATATGCGAAGCGGCGCAGGCACAACCGATCAGTGCGACTGTCGCCGCGCGAATGATCCTGCGTACGGCGCCGTTAAACACCGTAAATACCGAGCGCGGATTCCAAGAAATGACGTAGCGCCGTGAACACCTCGGACAAAAACAATCTATTGGAATGCGCGCTCGGTTTTCGGCCGAGGTGTTTTTACGGCGCTACGTCATTTCTTGGAATCCGCGCTCGGTTTTCACGGTGTTTACATCGCCGTACGCAGTGTCATTCACGCGGCGACAGTCGAACTGATCGGTTTTGTGCCCGCGCCGCTTCGCATATCGTGTTACTTTTTTGATACGCGTCGCGACAAGTGCGCGAAGAAACCGCGATCGCTCTCTGCGAATAATCAGGGATTAATATGATCGCCGCGATCGCTGAATTCCCGCGATTTGCCATCGATGTTCGATGTAATCGAACAGTTCGTAGTGGAAATCGGGCACAGTCAAAACCGAAGAAGTGGCATTTGGATACAGTGACAGTGACAAGTGCCTTTACAAACAGAAGTGTAAATTCGCGAGTGAAGTGGCATTTGGATGCAGCGACAGTGAGAAGTGATTTTAGAAACGAAAGTGTAAATTCGCGAGTGTGTAAATGTAAATTCGGGTAGCACGGACGCGCACCGAGTGGAGACTTTATCGGCAGTGCTTGAAAATGGGTGTAGCGAAATAGTTGCAAAAATGAAAATGGGCGTAAGGCGCTGGAATCAGCCGAGCGAAAACGGTGTCAAGTAAAACGCCGGCGTGGCCGCTCTCAGGTTTCTCTCTGCTAATGTGCACAATCAGCCTCGATTCTGCAGCGTTGGAATCAGCTGTTAGGGATGTTTGAAATCTCACTGCCGCTCGATATATAGTGGCTTTAGAATCCATACTTGTCTAGATGGCAGCCTCGTCAAGCCTGCGGATTCACTCTACTTTCTGTGTAGAGTTGCGTCGACTCGACGCCGTCGAGTCGAGGACCGTGGACGGAACAAAGATGAAATATCGGACGTCCGTTTGAGGTTAGACAAAGGGTGTCGCGCGGTCGCTCGCACTCGTGTGTTTTCGATCGCAAGAGGGAAAAAAGGGGGAGATCGATTAATTGTGCATGCGACGTGACCACCAGCCGCCATCATGAGTAAGATGTACTCGACGGCGAACCTGTCCGACAAGGAGCTGAAGGAGCAGGGTAACCGTCTCTTCGATCTGCACAAATACGAGGACGCGGCCAGTTGCTACACGAAGGCAATCGTAAGTGTAGCGACATTTCTGGCGTACGTTCGACGATCGTGACTCGTCATTCTGGCTTTTCGCGCACCTTCGTGCGCCTACTCGCTCGCTACGGTTGTTGTTGCAGCAAAATATTTTTTGTTTTGAATCACGGATCACGCAGTACGCGTGACCCGCGCGGCTCGACGGTGCTCCTGGCGTCCGACGTGCGAACTAGAATTCGGCGATAGCGCGGGAGATTTGAATCCGTCGCGCGTCCGACTGAAAAGGAAACAGTTTTGTTCTATGAGGGCGAATCTCTTTTTCCTTGTTATTAATAGAGTATTGGAGGAAGATAACAAGTACTGGCTGGAAGAAGAAAATGAACGAAGAATATGTATATTTTGTAAGGAGGGTAAAGATAATATAGAGCACTATATAAAGGATTGTAAAACGACGAAAGACTGGTTTTTAGAGTTAGGTAATAGCATGGAAAAGAAGTTGGAAAGATTATATAACGATGTAATAGATGAAGATAAAGGAAAGATATTATGTAAATTATGGAAGGAAAAAGATAGGCAAAAAAGATGAGCTAGTCAATGTAGAAATAAGAAATTAGAAGTAAGAAATAAGAAGGGAAAGAGATTAGGGATAGAGATTAGAGAGAGTATGAATGAGAGTATGGATGAATGAGTGGTTAAGGAACTATTGTAAACCAAGTCCCACTTTCTGGCTGTATGCTAAAGGTAATAAAGCATATATATATATATATATATTATTATTATTATTATTATTAATAGAGTATTTAAAAAAATGTAATTTATCAATAATATTTGTTGTTTACTTGATTTAAGATGAAGAATCCGGGCCAGGCGTTATATTACACAAACCGGGCTCTGTGTCACTTGAAGCTGAAACGCTGGGAATCCGTGTGCAAGGATTGCAGATGGGCCTTGGATATAGAACCGTGTTTGATGAAAGGCCATTTCTTTCTGGGACTTGCCCTACTGGAACTGGAGCTCTTTGACGAGGCTGTCAAGTACCTGCAGAGAGGTAAATATAGCGAGATACATCCTGGCGTTTCCCTGCCGTTTCTCCAACTACGAAACGGATTTGTGATATACTTGTCTCGAACAATGTAGCTGTGGACCTGGCGAAGGAACAGAAGCTGAACTATGGCGACGACATTACCAGCGTATTGCGTCTAGCCAAGAAACGTCGATTCCAAATAAGAGAGGAACAAAGGATTTCTCAGGACATCGAGCTGCAGACTTATCTGAATCAGCTGATCGTGGACGACGCGAAGCGTAACTTGGCGAGTCTGCAGGAACAGGAAACGACGAAGGATGCCGATGTTGAAACGAGCTCAGCTGAATTCGCCAGGAGGAAAGAAGAGATCGAAGAAAAGAGAGACACCTGTATATCCAGACTCAATGACCTCTTCGCCAAGATTGACGAGAGAAGGCGGGTACGTACCTCTTTAGCTGTCGTTATTTTAGAGCCCTCCTTTGACATTCCGTGATTCTGTTAATGCAATTCCTATGTAATAATTTGATTTTTTAATCCTATTAATACAAGGACATTTTTGGTAGAAAAGAGAGGTGCCCGATTACTTGTGCGGCAAGATTAGCTTCGAGATTCTGCAAGAGCCAGTGATTACGCCCAGTGGGATCACGTACGAGCGGAAGGACATCGAGGAGCATCTCCAACGGGTCGGTCACTTTGATCCAGTCACGCGCGTGCGTTTGACGCAGGACCAGCTAATCCCGAATTTGGCGATGAAAGAAGTAGTCGACACTTTCCTGCAGGATAATGAATGGGCCTTGCACTACTGATGCCGATATGTAGCTTACTGCCATAGGTTTAAGTCAAGGTGGTGGCGATATTCAGTGATGGACGAAGATACGAGCTTTTAACGAAGAGATTTAGAGGAGGGTACATCTAAAAGAAATCTCGAGAGAGTGTAAAATAGTAGACTGTAAAGGATTAAGGTATCTTGTTACCGTGAAATATTTTTACACGCCATATAAGACGTGGAAACCTGAAGATTGGAGACCACGAAGCTCAACGTATGCTCTCGTGAATAGGACCACAACCTGGTTTACATGATTTAAAGTAAGTACACCAGCGGCGTTGGTGATCGACGAACTGTTGATATTCGGACGTTGGAAGGGAATAAATGGGTACACACTTACCCCGAGTCTACTAACATACACTCAAACCGTATACGTGAAGAGTGAAAACGCTACGTGCAACTGAAGCAACATCTCGATTAGGATTTCGTACTAACATCGACAACCACTTTTGGGTTCAGGGGGTCAACTCTTACAATATAGTGAAAATGTTAAAAATTAACGGCTTTGTCTCTTTCTAACAGGGCGGTTAGAATTGTACACTGTAGTGTTAGCTACAGAATTGACCCCCAGAATCTGACGCATTTGCCCATGTAAGTCGATCCCCTGGGGTGCGTTCCGTTTCATGTATGACGCGCATAATGCATTATTTATCCTTACTGTTTACCAAATATTAAATAAGGATAAGTGATGCATTATGTGCATTATGCGTAAAACGAAACTCACCCCAAGTCTTTAGTCTTCATGCGTGGAAGCTATTGTTATCGTACATAAATATACTAGTGAATAGTTAACATCGAATAAGGATCGTTTAAACACAGGTTACATATATACATATATACATATATATTGCATATGTATGTATATATGTATATGTATATATATTCTATTTCTAGAGAATATTGTAATATTCTCTACTCTATATACATACAAAATATATATGTGTATATGTATATATACAGGTTATATACATACATATATACACATATATGTATACAGGTTATTTATATATATGTAATTTCGTAAGCGCTACATATATACGATTATTATTAATTACCTATAGAAATTGAATTTATCTTTTGATTAACAATTTCTGATTTGTAAGGATTAAATTTTTCTAATAGTTGCGTTCAATAAAAATACAAAATTGAAATTTTAGGCCGGTATTCCATGGGCCGATTCCATCGGATCTTGCATTCAAGACCGTCTTGAATTTATCTAAAGATGCTTTCCGGAACATTTCATTGGCTGCGGAGTATCTAAAGGTGGTCTTGAGACAGTCTTGAATATAAGATCCACAACCACGGGTTTATATACAGGTCTGGAAACAATATCGAATTTTTAGTGATAGGGGGTGACTCCATTAAAAAGATAATTTTTCATCCGCGCTATCGTCACTGTGCGTCGCTACTAGTTTAAGAGTGTGGTGAGATATAGCCTCGAATGTGCAGCCTGTGAGCCACATGTAGCTCTGTGAGAATTAAAATTGAGACTGTTTCAATAACCATAAATTGTGCAATAATTCTTGTTGAGATGCTTAAATCGTGTGCGGTACCGAAGTGCAATACAGAGTATAGAACTATGACACTCCTAGATCATACGTGGCATTTTGCGGCTGAAAATCCAATTAAAAATGTGAACATTAAGAGAGTCTACCCCCACCAGTAGTTGTTTCCAGACCTGTATGTAAGACTGGATCTGACTATGAATACTGGCCTTAAAGAGTTAAGCGGGGAGCACACACTTTTGCATAAGTGCATAAGCATATACATAACGAATTAGATTGGTCCATTTCCCCAGATAGCCAGTGTGAGCACAAGTTGCTTTCACATTGCTAAGAAAAATGTTAGCATCTTGCTATGCATCGTTTATTGTGCTGTTGTTTGCTAGCATTTGGTGTCGGAAATAAAACATTTGCATGATTCAAACATTATGCTAGCATTAAGTGCTTGGTCAGATGTAATAGATATAACATGTTTATATCTGTTAGAAAATTGAAAACAATATATGCTAATTCTTTGTTAACAGTATGCCTATTCGATGTGCACTCTCTTTAGCTGTGCATTTAACTACGACAATATGTTAACATTATGCTAGCTGTACTTAAATCACTCAAACATTGAATTCATATTCCCAGCAAAGAGCCAGCATCAGTTGCTGGCATTTTATTCCCATACATTGCTTGAGCATACTGGCTATCCAGTAGCGCGATTCTGTAACTCGTTATGTCGTCGTTACGGACTTTGCGCAGCTTTTCTACGGTATATTAGATCTGCGCAAAGCCCGTAACGACGACATAACGAGTTACAGAATCGCACTACTGGGTCCTTATGCATTTGCTTATATACCAATCAAATTCGTTATGCATATGCTTATGCACTTAAGCAAAAGTGTGTGCTCCCCGCCTTTAAACAAAAGCTCAAGAGTTGACTGAAAGTTCCAACATACGCAGTGGCTCAAAGAAGAACCATAGGATAATAAGCGCTATGTAGCATCTGTAATTTTTGTTTTACCATAAATAATAAATTATTTATTTTACCACCAAACTCCCGCGTTTTTAACTGTAATGCTGCATACTAGAAGAAATTCTGATTTCTCGCAATGTCGCTAGTGAAGAGAGATCTGAATCCACTCAAGGTATTTATTTTAACATTCAACTGACAACAATATATTTATGTATATATATATATGTACAGTTTTACGTATACGCAATATTGTATATATGTATCGCAATCGTCGCAATTATATGTAATAATAATTACTACCGTCCGCCGTCGGTGTATTATTTTGAGTTATTGCGCAAGCTACATCGACAATATATGGTTAACAAAAGTGCGATAGGATAGATCACTCTCTTTGTAGCTCGAACGATAATTACAACAGCCATCGTGATAATGAACTGCTGCAACGATTTTTCTCTTCTTTTTAATTACTTTTTAAAACTTACCCTCTTAACGAAATTAAATTCAAGATTGTCGATTGTGTTTTAAAATATTAGAATTTAGATATGTTCTTTTAAATGGAAGATAACCAGTTTCAGTCGAGATATGTAGCATTCACTAAAGAACGAAAGAGGATCATCATCAATTCATATAAATAATATCAAAACTTTTAAGAGCACGTTATAAAACGCATCTGACCTCTAAAGGAGTCTTTTTGTTTTTTAGGAAGATCGAGCGAGTATAAGATAAAAAACTAGTATGTGTATTGTAACAAATGATATGATATCAAGATATGATTTATTTTCCGTCATTAATTAAGCGATGATGGTTTTGTCATTGCTTAATTGAAGACTCCTATGGTTTATTACTTAAGTAGTCGCTTAACGATTGCTAATGCAGTTATCTTTCTGCTTACTTTGGCTAATAGATAACTTGAAGAAACGAAATTCTACTTATTGTCTGCGTTAACATTTGTACGTTTTAGGCGAATACTCCACAACCGAGTAGTCATTAATTCATTAACTCTTTGCACTAGAATATCTTGTTTCAACATGGATCTATAAAATCTTGTTAAGTCTTATTTGTACACTCGGTAGAGTGAGAAACTCGTATTTATATTCCCATATGTTACTATAAAATATCTAATTTATATAATAATATAACTGAGCGTGTGCACAAATATATGTATAATAAATTTGTAATAAAAGATATACATATATAACAGTACTATAATACGGCGTAATAAAATTCTCTCTGTAAAATAACGCAATCGATATCTTTCCTTAAACACGAGTAACACGAGTAAAAAGACATTCAGAGTGCAAAGAGTTAAGGTGAAAATATCACTGGAAGATATCAGGCCATTTGAGTATTATCGTAAAGGAATGCGAGTAGGAAGATTCCGTGGAATATTCGGAAACACCTTTAAAATGTTCAATTTCGACCCTCGAGCACAACAAGATGCGTATATCTCGTATATAATTTTTTTTATAATATATTTATCAGGTCGAATTTGAACACGCGCAACAAGATGAAAATCAGAATAATAATAATTGACCTACATAAAACTAATTAGTTGATTAATCTATGGCCGGGATGATGATAATATCTCTTAGTCCGAAGAAACCATGTTCTATCGGTCGAATTAATTGCCTTTCGGCTTTCCAGGCATCCTTGAGTGCGCATCGCATGCCGCGCACCGTTAACATTATTGTCAAACATAATTTAGTCGAATTATTATTGTCATCAATTTTATCCCCTTTATTGTCACGTTATCAATCCGCGTAATCAATCGTGGATTCTTGAATCCTTAGATCTTTGGTAGGATCTTATTTTCTCTCGGACAATGTACCTTGAATTCCTAAATCCTTATAGATCCGTGCTTTGTTTTGTGCTTTCAAATACCTGAATATCTCCATCTTCTTATTTATTTACTTATTTGCGTTCTTGGATTCTTTAGTACTTGCGAAATCAGGTCTTTAGATCCATTGATTTTCAAACTCTTGAATTTTCAAATATCCATAGATCTAAGGATCCAAATGCTCTCTGATCCAAGGCTACCTATCTAAAACAATGTTTCGGGTATACCCACCCAAGTCCACTGGACGGCTCCTACCGCTAATCTTATTAAATCTGACGTTAATCGCAATCGCTAAAGAGTAAATGTTTCATCGTTAACTTGTATAATAGGCAATTTTCTCTGTGAAAGATTACCTTTCATTCCCGTCCACGCGACGCGCGATTGTGTTTTTCGCTCGAAAACTGTGCAGATGGTTGTCTAATATTCTTCAGTATCCGCGAAGCTTCGAAAGCCATTTCGTATAGTTAATTACTTAAGAAACTCAAAAGTTCAAACGAGTTATATCTTTTGGATAGAGATACATTCACAAATGTTCGCGAATAAGTCTCTCCTATTTTTATCGAAAATGCCTTGTGCTAGACACTTAAATTCGAGATACTGTTCTTTAATCAAAGAGCCTTGAAAGAGAATCTTTGAAGAAAAATGTAAATTTCGTAGTTAACAACTGGTAAAGTTAATTGTAAAAAGGAAGAACAAAATGATATGCAATTCTCTTTACGAATGTATCTCCATCTTTATGAAGAAACGGCCTCTATCGCCGAAGCTTACGTTAATTGACACAATAGACAAGATCCTACCGCGCGGATGCGCTGACTACAAATCGACCAGATTCACCAAAATGGATTGCAGCCATTTTCGACCAAACAGCAGCGGTCGAAAATGATCGTCACAGGATGAAATAGAGCATTTCTCGAGGCAAGATCATCCACGGAAACGCGCGTCGCGATCGAGATTGATCCTAGGTGAGGTCCTCGTCTTCGTCATCACTGGGACCGCCCGTAGGACAGCACAGTCCTTCGGAACCGTCACTCCTGATGCAAAATAGCAATGACTCGGCCACTGTCACTTCGTGCGGCATGATTCCGTGGAATTCTTTCAAGTCCGCCGCGGGGAACCAGGCCTTTTCGTTGTCGTCAATGATAAAAATTCCAAAGTATCTGGATCGTTGAAAATTGATGCAAAAAATGCACATGAAGCGAGATACAATGTTTAGTATAAACGTTAAAATTAATATTAGTATATTAATATTGAGAAGCTAACGCCAACCTGCCAATAGCGACTGCGGGTATCCACAGAACGGAAGTAAGAATGAGAACGGCGATGAGGACAAGACCCCAAACGGGCCATTCGTGTCTCTCCGTAATGCCTTTACTCGCCACCCAGGCCGGATAGCCGCTTCCTTCGAAAAATATATCGACGAAGGACGCGATCAGAATACTCAACATCGCCAGAGGGCTGAGGTACTTCCAACATATCAACCAGTAAAGGCCAGGCCGGTTGCCGGTCATCAGTTCGATATCGTCAGCAAATCTAGAATCATCGGAACGCACCGATATACACATGTATTTAACTGAAAATCTTCAAGTTTCCTCAGTGCTCACCTCTTCAAACCGTACACATAAGATACTCCTATACATTCGAAAAACGCGATTATGAGCAATGGGAAGTTCCCGCTGAAACTGTCGAACAGCACGAAGACGTAGCTGCCAGCTCCATGAGCGAAGGCCATAGAGATCGTACAGCATACCAGACAAATCACACCTGCGCGCACACAAAATCGACATTATCCACAGTTTTTCTCGACGTTCTTCTTACTATTGCAGGAGGCACCTGTCAGAATCTCCTTTCTCAAATTCGGGAAGAGCTTCATGTCGACGATGCTAGTGACGACACCTTCCAAAGTACCAAACTGGGAATCGATTCCCAACGTGAACAGCATCAGGAAGAACAGCACCGACCAGAATTGAGCGCCAGGAAACTGATTAATCGCTTCGGTGAAGATTATAAACGCCAAGCCTGTGCCCGACGCCGACTGTAATCATATTATAATAATCGCTGGTAAGTGGTTTGCGCAAACTTAAAGTCATCTTCATTACTCACGTTATCCAACTCCTTTTCCAGGTCGCACTCGGGCAGTTCCGGCATTATCAAATTATCCAGCGATCCGTTGCCGTTCGTGATATTCAGCAGCGTGCCGGCAATCGGAATGTCCTCAGGTATTTTGTCGGCCTGGCCGAATATACTCATCAACGTGTTATTCTTTTCCGATAAGCATCGCTCGTAAACCATAGTAGCTTTGAACCCTGTTCAAAAGGGATCAGAAGCGTAGGGATTAGAAGTTTCTAAATGGAGTGAGTTCACACGTACCGATGATCGAGAAGACGACGATGCCCGCGAACATGGACGTGAAGCAATTCGTCAGGCTGACCATGATGGCGTCGCGGTAACAGTTATTGTTCACCGGATTGTACGAGGAGAACGCTATCAGACCGCCGAAAGCTAGGCCTAAGGAGAAGAAGATTTGTGTCCCAGCCTCCAGCCAGACTACAGGATCGGTCAACGTATACCACTGAAAGGTAAAGATGAATCGGTTGGTCATTTGAACTTTCCTAAGCGTTTCATTGTTTATTGACATCTCTGTTGGAGGAGGGAATTGTGAGAGCGTACCTTTGGCGTGAAGAGATGCCGCAGACCGTCCGACATACCCGTCAACGTCACACCTCGGAAGAAGAAAATGATGAGAACGATATACGGAAATGTGGCGGTCACGTATACGACCTAAAGAAATTAAAATGATTACTCGGAGGTATTTGAATGATCACAGAATGACTACCTGATGACTATACCGGTAGGAAAACGTTTATGAAATTATACTTAATAGGACTTTGCATGAAATTCCCATTGCAATTATGAGGGTACATTAGAAAAAAAGTAGTTGTCAAAGTATTGAACCGCTATGTTCTGGCGAATCGTCTCACAATTGGCGAAATTTTCATCAATTTATGATTATTTGTCATTTTTACTTGCAACGTTTCTAACAAGGTTTCTATCAGGGTAATTAATATTCTAGTTAGAAGAGACCTCTCGTACCTTGCCCGAGGATGCGATACCCTTAATCATGCACATATAGACGAGGATCCAAGCGATGATCAGCGCCAGGGCAATTTTCCAATTAAATACTTCCGGCGTGTTGATATCCTTGGATATCATCAGAGTGGTTCGATACCAGAAGTATTGCGTAGGGCTGCTGACCTGTTGACCGGGTCTCGCGTTATAAACGAACTTAATGCGCGCGCGCGCATGCACACACGCGACGGAACAATTTGTGTTATATTGCAATTAAATGTCAGCGTTACCAAACACTCGGGTTCAGGCGCGTAAGATCCATTTTGAAAGTACTTATTGGGACACTCCGCCCAAGGTAACTGCGATTGGAAACTCTTTAAACAGATTTAGTTTCCCGTGAGTGGCCAGCGCAATATTATCAATAAACGAAATCGAGACAGATCTTATACGTCGTTTACCTGAACGAAATAAAATAGGCACCAGGCGATAATTGTATTATAGTAAAGAGCCACGTTGAAGGAGACTACGGCGCTGCTGATTCCGATACCGGCCATGTACGGGGATACCTTTCGGGGAGAAGAGATACAATAGAAAACTCATCTTCAAACATTCGTTTCAATCTATTCATAGATAATGGACTCTTTTTTTTTTCTTCCATTCACCTGATTCCACACTCCGATAGCGCCTTTTCTCAGTCTCTGGCCGATTGCCAATTCCAGATAAAATATAGGAATACCCTCGATGGCCAGCATCACGAAATAAGGGATTAGAAAAGCACCTGTGAAATTAGAAACCGTGCTTACAATTGAAGAAACGAAATTCCGAGCGATCTGAATGTAGCAAGCGCGCACCTCCGCCGTTCTTTTGAGCCAGATAGGGGAACCGCCATACGTTTCCAAGGCCCACCGCGTATCCTACGGTCGCCAGGAGAAATGTGAGCTTGCTGTCCCAATTCTCACGCTCGTCTTCGCCCGCTTCCGGTCGAAAGGTCGCCTTGCCATCATTGTTGCCGGGGCCGTTTCCTATTTTGCTCTACGGATTTGCGATTTTATTTTTCATTGAAATTCGTTTAATCTGACTCGCGGGGGTGAAAGGTAAATAGACGGTGTACCTTATTAGGGCTGGTGTCTTCGAAGGCCGCGTTGGTGGCCCCGTAATTGGCAGTGGCGACGTTCTTCCGATTATCCACCACTAATCTACCACGCATCTCTTTCATCTCGAGCTTGTCGATGCTTTTCTGGGGTTTTAAGTCGCGGGAGCTTTGCCGGCGAACGAGATGAGCCGTATTCGCCATATCTTCTCCTTTTTCGTTTTAGTCTTCTTCGAATCCAATTTTGATTAAACGAAAAGGTCTAGGCGCTTCATCCTACCAGGAAAAGAATTTTAATGATTACTTGAAAGGGCTTTTTCAAGCGAACGCCAAACAAAATGACCGACGAAAATGGCTTGTGAGAAAAAGTTATATATTTTCCCAAGAATGCAATAAATAAATGTTTGCGATAATATAAATTGATGTAATACCAGCGTAACACTTTGTAACATAGTATTATAATACATAAACGTACATATGTTGTAAATGGTTACATAAGAAGAGAAATTTATAAGATTGGGCAATCATGGTGTGTCAGTAATACGCTATTTTTTTTATCATTGCAACACATGCTTTAGTTCACTGTTTTATTGCTCAACTTTAATTCTCTGTGCATGTGACATCTCCATGGATTTAATTTATATTTATGTGCATGTATAGACGTATATATATTTTTTTCTCTCTCTCATACAGGTGTCGATCACAATCGAGCGCACATATGCTCCCCAATTACACACGTGTCCTGCTTACGTAAACTTGCGTATATACCCCTTACGCGCGGAGAAATCGATTAAAAACTTCAGTGGAAATTGATTTTTGCTTTGACGTAAGTACATGTTCCAGCGCGCGAGCACAGACGCAAGTTTTATTAAAATTTCTACGCACATCCGTGTGAGAGATAGAGAGAGAGAGAAAGAGGAAGAGTAAAGATCTACTTTTAAAATAAATATATGTATTTATATATAGTTTGATATGTATATGTAAAACATCCTCGTCTTCGTACGAGTCTTCCACTTCACCGTACGTAATAACGATTGACACAGAAAACCCGGATTCCTTCCCTCGCGCACCAGGACGGCTTTATTCGGGTGCACGTTCCGCCACGAGGTGGGCGCATCCGTGGAATCGTCCGCGATTGCTCGTACGTTCCGCCACGAGCAGAAACGGCCGAGAAAGCGGAATCCTTACCCACCTGCCGGGGACCAAAGGGGGAAACGCGCGAGGACCTTGTACGCGGTCGAGGAGCGGTTCGCCACTGGTGACACCCCCGTGCGCTGGTGATAGTAACTTTTGAAACCACGGATATATCCGAGGGAATCAATAGCTGGCGCCGGCGCCTCGACGCCCCTCTCTCTCTCATCCGCGACCCGCTCTCTCTCGCGAAACGCGAAACCGCGCGCGAGCTCTTCTCCGAGAGGAAGACATCGGGGGTAGGGAGAGAGCAAAAGACAGGTCATGATTTATCGCCACCCTGGAACTTGACGCGTAAATCGTAGACCCACGAGGTATACGTATATATTTTTAATTTTATTTACGTATAATTAAAAAGTTATTCTCATGCGGACACGATGAGCGAAATTAGGATAGCGATTGTCAAAGGGCGCACTTTTAATATAAGAGATAACGCATGGAAATTAATTTACACTATTTTATTTCGCGAATTACACTATTTATTCTTTATGTATAAAAAATATTTGTAGACATGGGTCTTGCGCAGTTAAAAATAGTTATAACTTATCAATCTGTATTTATCAGCCGGCAAATATCTAGGCGTTTGCATATAAATTTTATCCGTTTAAACTCCATTGCCTCCATTGAATTCGTGCATCTTCGCGTCGTTAATTTAGGGTCTCCTTAGCTAGAAATTGCGTACAAGCGAGAATCCCTGAAACATATGCAATCTTCGTTAAATCTCTTTCTACGTGCAATATTTAAATGACTTAGCTTAAACTTTTATAGAAGGGTGCCGCGTACGCTCGAAGCGATAGATTCGATGTATTCCACGTTGAAGTAGCGATCGAAGGTGTGATTTTAATCATACCATACGTATACGTGACAATAACAATGATAGATATGAAAATCGAGGTAGCGAGTGATAGGAGTAAAACAAAAGCGCGGCGTTACATCAAGCTATATTCGCTTGTCATGAGCTGTAATTATATGCACGTCAAACATACGTGCTCTTTTAACGGCTTCATTAGGTGCAGAAGGTATCAAAGTCACCAATTGTACCTACTATTTATGTTTTTCCTCCCGCGCTTCTCTTCTGCGAAAGAAGAGACCAGATTGTCAACAGTCTTCTCTGCCTTGTAGTCGAGTGATTTCATGCCATCGTTCACACGGAGATACCTAAGAAGCGTATGCGACATACTTTATGCAATTAAATTATATCGGATCCTTGAGAAAATTTACCTTAGAAGTGAACTTAAAAGTTACTCTAAGAATTGTGAAAAGTATGTGATAGAATTTATAATATACCGCGTTTCTTCTTGCGAGAAAGTGCTATGCCGCGCGGCCCTCTAGCGGAAACTTCGACAGACTTGTCTATCTAAAGAGTACTTTAAGTGTCCAAAATTACTCTAAAACTTCTTAAGTAAACTTTTAGCTTCTTTAAGTAAATTCTTAGATTTGAAAGATTACTTATAAAAAGTTTAGTTTTATTTTAAGTAAATTTTCCCAAGAGGAAGATGATCGCGCTTTTAAGAAAATTAATACATGTTATGGAAGAACTGGAAGCCTTCCACGGCCCACTGCAGAAGCAGCTCGAGCGTCGGCCGGTAAGGCGTCCCCTTGATTAATTCCTTCATTGTTTCGTCCTTCAAGGACACTTTACTTCTCGCGTTCTCCAGATTGTCCAGATAGTTCTTCAAATCCTGAAAGGCAGATTCGCACACACGTTGGCGTACTTGACGTTTACTCGCGAAATGAAGAAATAATACCTGATTGGCGTCGTTCAGCTGCGTTAAAATATTATAGAGGCGCGCCATCTCTTCCTCGAGGCCCATGAGAATTTTGAATGCCAATCTTTCCCGCGTTTCCCGATCCATGATATCTTCCACTCCGTCTATTTCTTCACTGTGAACACTGTAAACAGGTAAAAGTTCGAGTGATTTGTAGATGCAGATTGCGGTCAAACCGCTGCTACAGATGCTTCGAAGTGTTTCCTTTCTCCTTCTAGCTTTTCTGATAGAAAAGAGAAGAAGAATCTCTAGCAGCACAGTGCATTGGCTAAACATTGGTTCAATGTTGGTTATAATAGAAGTGCATTGTCCAACGTAAAGCCAATATTAGCGCTGGAATAAATGTAAATATTGCACGATAATAATTGTATAATATTAGATTTATATTGGAAGTGCATTGGCCAGCATTTAACAATGTAATAAGAATATTGGTCTAATATTGATACAATATTAAACCAATATTGCTAAACAGACATATCGGCTAAATAAGAGAAGGCGTCCGTCTTACAATATTGGACCAACATCGAGAACACTAGAGTTACATCATTTCCCAATATTGCGCCAATATATTGTGCTACTGGGGATACCTCGAAACATTCGAAGCTTGACCGCAGCCTAAATCTATATTGACGCAGACAGACGCGAATTCCGATTAGTTTGATCGACAGCTAATTCACGAAGAAACATTCGCTAGAAACGTTCCTCTCGTCACAGATAGAATTCTTCATTTCTTGCAGTTTAAATGCGGTAAGAAAAATCAGATTAAAAACGACGAGTTAGAAATTGTTTCGCTCATGTCGATTTAATTAATCGATCAATTTCGACCGAAGTCACCTTATTACTTCGGCATATTAATTGAAAAAAAAACAAGATTACGACTCGATCATTGAGATTTTTAAGAAGTTAACGATTATAAAAAAGAAATCGTTTCTTCAAACGAGTCTCTTCCTCCCTCGCCAGGCCTCGCGCGACGGTCGCGCCACCTAGTCCACTCCCGACGAAGTAGCGACGGAGGGATCGTCGCGCACGTTCAAGGCTCGTCACTTGTTGTTTCACTCACTTCATGACCTGGCGTAGCTGCTCGGTTCGATTAGACAAAATATCGAGCAGTATCTCGGCCTTCTTCGACAGCTCCCTCCACTTGTCGTCCAGCCTCTCGAGACGCGCGTAGTAGCGGACGAGGCACGCGTGAAGCTCCCGTGCCATCCTCGCGGATCCCGCGAGAGCGCGCGAGATTCCACCAGGACTTTCGTCGCGGCGACTCCCCCCAGGTCCCTAGCGGCGACCGGTGACGTTTGTTCGACCGACCGTGGCGCGTCTATCTACCGATCTCTCGCTCTCCGCGGCGGTTTTGTCGTCGGTCACCTGTCGGACGAGGTTGCGTGCCACTTGGCTCGGGCGCGAACCGACCCGGCCCACCGGGAAAGAGGGAAGGAGCGGGAACGCGTCGCGACGCAAAGAGGAATCTCTGTCGGGGATCGAGATGAAACTCCACTGAACGTCTATCTCTCTTTCCTGCACGTCCGTGCATCTGATAGAAGCTGTCTGCTGTGTGTGTGTGTGTGTGTGCCCGTGTGTGCGTGTGTGTGTTGTCTCAATTTTGAACGATTATCAGCAATGCAAAGTGTAATAAACTCCGTAAAGGGCACTGCGCTGGGCGTCGCTGAGTACCTGACACCGGTGCTGAAGGTAATTCCCGTGAAATTGTACGTCGGTAATTCGTCGAGTCTGATTAGATATTTTGGTTTGATTAGCGCCGAACGAAACGGAGAACAGAGACGCACAGGAAGTTCTGATGTAATCGATGAAAGAAGAGGAGGTGCGAGTTAAATGTTAAATTCACAGGATAAATTCTCTCTTTGGCCCGTACTCTGGTTGGCTACAAGCCACTTTTAGAGGGGCCGTTGCTTCTCGAAAGAGTCATTCCGTGCTCAGGAAGCACGACGTTGACAGCACGTCAGTAGTTTGCCAGTGGATTTGAGCGGAGTATCTCCGCAGATCGGCGTCAACTGCGTCTGCATTAAGCTCGTGTTCTATTGACAAAATCCAACAGCAGTCGCTACATTCTAGTCGGCTCGACGACTTAGAATCACATGTTAAATCAATCGCGCTTTGTCGTTTACAATATTCATGCATACGTTTACCATTTTCTTTGTTAAAATTAATTGAGACCTTTTTGTTTTCAACCGGAAAATAAAGGATGGATCTGAGAAAATTTCTATCCAGAAACCGAACAGAATTTACCAATTTGTTACCATTTAAGTGGCAACAGTAACTTTTACTCCAGCAAACACCAAAGTAACAATATATAACATCAATGTAAATATAATGTAACACACATTATATTACATTTATATCGATGTTATGTAACTGTTACTTTGATGTTTGCTGGGACATAACGTTTCGTCGGTCGCGTCGTAATTTATTGAACGTTCTGTACTTATGTAAAATTGCTGTTATAATTTGACTTAATTCTGTGGTAGGGACAAAATTTGTCCAAGGAAGTAGTTCTTATTGATTCTTTGTCCTTTTTATTGAACTTGATTATTCGTAACTTCAATTGTGACATGTTAATTTATGTGAATTCGCATGGTTCTTTTTAAGGAAAGCAAATTCCGAGAAACAGGCGTTTTGACACCGGAGGAATTTGTAGCAGCCGGCGACAATTTGGTGCATCATTGTCCCACGTGGCAGTGGGCCACCGGCGACGAGGACAGGGCAAAGTCTTACTTACCAAAGGGCAAACAGTTCCTGCTGACTCGCAATGTTCCTTGTACACGTCGATGTAAGCAGGTAATATCACGGGCCATAGTAGTGTACAATTTTCTCTCTCTCCAATTTTCTCTTTGCACAGTAATACAGTTTATCATGCATTTGTAGATGGAATACAGCAACGAGCAAGAGTGTATTATAGAAGCTGACGATCCTGAAGGCGGTTGGGTAGACACCCATCATTACGCCACTAGTGTCGCTGGTCTGGACGAAAGAGTGACGGAAATGGCACTGGAGGAGACACTGGGGGAATCGTCTGAACTTCAAGACAACGCGGACGAGGATGAGGATGACGAGGACGCCGCTGATATGGAGGCCTTCGAGATCAGCGGCATGCTGGACGAGCAGGATAAGGTAGCAAACGCGAATCTAGAGAGGAAGGAAGTTTTCCTGAATTAATAATTGTAGAGATCAATTTCCCTTGCAGCACGCAGCAACGGAAAGCGCGAAGAAAACCGGCCATGAGAAACTGGATTCGTTTACGGAGGGAGAGATCATTCGCACTCGCACCTACGACTTGTACATTACATACGATAAATATTATCAGACACCCAGATTATGGTTGTACGGATACAACGAGGTAAGATGCGTATTCATTTCCTCCCGATTTCTTAAATCTTTGAATTATTGCATCTCCTAAATCTACCGTATTAATTATTTTATCACGTTAGAATCGGAAGCAGCTTAGCGTGGAAGAAATGTACGAAGATGTTAGTCAAGATCATGCTAAGAAGACGGTCACGATGGAGACTCACCCGCACATACCTGGCCCCCCTATGGCTTCTGTTCACCCCTGCAGGTAAGAGAAGGCGACAAGGAGATATCAGATCTACAAATTCGTTAGATTTATGAATCTTGATGGATTAAAGGACTTGTTGTTTGCGTAGGCACGCCGAGGTAATGAAGAAAATTATGGAGACGGTGATGGAGGGCGGTGGAGAATTAGGAGTGCATATGTACCTCATTATATTTCTGAAATTTGTTCAGTCCGTCATACCGACAATTGAATATGACTACACGCAAAATTTTATGCTAAACGCGATCGGCTAAATACGTTATTAGTGCTATCGACATTATATTGTGATTAATATAAATTGCTTATCAACTGTATTTAGTGGATACGCGGGATAAATGTGTATCGATGTTTACTACGCTTTTCATCATAAGTGCGAAAATCCTAAGGATATTCGAGATTATAAAAGGATCCAAGAAAATTTCGTGCATCTTGAATTGACTTTCGAGGATACGGAAATTATAAAAATATCGAACGATCCACTCCCAAGACTCCAAAGATATGAAACCGCACGGATCTCGAGCGTTCAGCATTTAAAGATCCATTTGTACACTCGTCCTAATTAATTTTAAGCAAACTTGTACACCTTCACTTTTTTATATTGCAAGATACTAAGTTGAACAGACATTTAACTTGACAACTGTTAGACAATAAGCGAGGAATAAAGGCTACACTGAAAGCAACGAAAGGAATCGGCAGAGAGAAATACAGAAATAATGTCCTATATGTTTATAATCAATGATTTATTGTTTGTTAATTGATCATTTCTAAAGAAACGCTTAAATATTTATCAAAATCGGTTATAGTTAATTATTCTAAAAATAAATTGAAATATTCCGAACATCACTTGTGTACATTGACCAGTTTACTTATCACACCGTCACAGAGGTGACTAAAATTAGCATTTTCCGGTCTGTCCCCCTCCCCCCAATTTACTTCCTTGCGCGTTAAGAAGATACACACAATTATTTTTACTGATAATTCTTGACATTCCCATAAATCTACTAGTACATAAATTAACATAAGTGCGATTAAATGAGCAGCTGACAGAATTATAGCGCGATGTCGCACTCTTTTAGCGTTTTCGATTTGCTGACTCGACCCGACTCCGAGTCAGAAAATCGAAAACGCTATTTGTTTCATGAGCAACTCTGATATAGATTAATATGGAATTCCATATAAACCTTTACTATTTTATCGAAGAACATTATTTAATGTTTTTGCCTTGTCCGACATTGGCTAATTACGATTACAAATTGCTACTTTAATGAAAAAAATATAATAGATCTTGCAATGGTATATTTCACCGGACTGCCAGTATTGATATAAATAAAACTTCAAATTTTAATCGACCTCAGCTGGCCACATTTATTGAAAACATCTCTGACTGTCTTGGTGTATTATTCTTATATGTGTATGTTTGTTACCCGACCTCTGAATATGAAAATAACTAATACCGTCTTTGTCTTACAATCATCGACTCCGGACGTTAGTGAAATGGCTCTTATTTCTGAACACCGTTCGCCAAATTGTGGCTGTAATTTCATTTGACAAACTCCGTAACATGGTAGACCGACAATCTTTCTGTGATACTGTACAATTCGTTTATACTTTTCACGTAAACTGTATATAAAACATTTACTCCTAGGTCTCACTTGAAAAGAACCTAAACCAAAGGTCGAAACGTTGTGAAGGCGTATTCAATAAATGTGGCCAGCTGAGGTCGATTAAAATTTGAGATCTTACAATGTTTTAATCTTTTCATTTAAAAATATTTTAGTATTTTGAAATGCGTCCATGTAGAAACAACAATGAAAATACATAGAATATGTTGTGATAACGTAACGAAAAATATTATGCCCGTGACTAGACAACGCAACGACGTAATAATGTGGCTAATTGCCACGATACCGGAGAAGGGAAGAGTCGTTTCTTTGTTGATAAGGTTTATCGATTTTGTGTCGCACTTTGGTGGTCTTGAGACGTAAAACCGAGTCGTATTGTATTCTTGTACTGTACAAAATCGCACGTTGAGAATCCAGTATTTGGTGTTATTTATTTACGCGGCTACGCGTGAGATCTGCAGGATTGCTGCAGGCGTGACAATATATTTTCTATAAAGTATGTTATCAATAATTTTGCATATTTAAAAAATATATAAATATGGAACTATAAAGCGTCCTAATACTAAATGAAATTGTACAATTATGCGCGCATTTTTGTATAAATACATATAAAATTTGTGGGACATTTCTGAGTGATGAAAGGAAATTGATGGCTTCGTTAACTTATATCATTTAAACCTTATCATTTGCAACTGTATATTTTAGTGTAATATAAAGTGGTATATACATTTTAGTAAGTCTGGACACAATGCATTGAGTTAAATATTCGCATGTTTTCACGATCCACACAGCACGGGGAACTCCCGGGGAGCTCCCGGGGAGCTCTTAAAATTGGTCATAAGCTTCACTTGAACTTCAAACGAACTCGCACGGAGCTCCTATGTCCGCTTTTGAAAGCTCTCTGGGAACTTTATTTAAGCTCGCAGGGAGTTTAAATGAGGCTCCCAGGGAGCTCTCGACTAGTACTAACTCGCTGGAAGCTTGTTTTATCGAATTTTGTAAGCTTCCCGGGAGCTCAGCGAAATGAACTCCCTGGAAGCTTGTTTTGTCGAATTTTGTATGCTTCCCCCAGTGAGAAATTATTCGTCGATCGACGTCGAAATGATGTCGAATCGATGTCGATTCGACGTCGTTTCGACGTCGATCGACGAATCATTTCTCACTGGGCCGGGAGCTCAGCGAAATGAACTTCCTAGGAGCTTAATCGGAGCTTGTGCTGTGTGGGATTGCCTTGCCTTATACAGATAAGATTCCGAATATTCTATCTAAAAATTCTATCTAAAATAACACTTATGCGCTCTCAGAACTCTATCTTATCGAAATTATCTAATCTTAGAAATCTTTTTTGCACGTATATATAAAATCAAGCGACATGTTTTCTTTAACAGTAGTTATTCACTTACAATGCACACACTCTTTGCTCTGTTGATCGCTAGTTTGGCGTCAGTCAGTCATGGTAAGTCATAGAAAGTGCAAAGTAAAACGTTTCGACGTATAAAAATATTACTTGATAATAAAGCCGATTTGTTCTAAACTCAAAATGAAAATATGAAAGCAATTCCTAATTTTATTTATGGTACTATAAATCATGACGTAATTGACATAAATTTTATGTAACTCTATGAATAAAAGAATTATTTTACCAGCATTTATATCGGGATTATATATCGCCTATATTTATATCCTCTACTGTTAATTCTGCAATAATAACTCACAATTGTATTTGTAAAAATTGTGTAAACGTGCATATTAACATAATTATTAAAATTTTATACAATGAAGTATGAAAGATCAAATAGATACAGCAAATTATATAATTATATACATATATACATATTTTTTAAATAACATTATCTTTTAATTCCGCAACGACATACTTGTAAAGTATAATACTCACAAAATCGATCAAGTATTACAAAAGGTATAAAAAAGTAATCTAAAAAATTGTCTAAAGAGTGAGAACAAGTGTCTATAAGCAAATGGCCCCAATTTTCAAAGGTTCCATTCCATTTCAAATAAATAGTTGGTGTCTGTCCAGACGGCTTCATCGCTTATGTCCTGGGAATTTTGGATCATCTTGACGAGACCTTTCGTTTGGTACCTACTTTGTGATCAAAATCAAATACGAAAAAATGGGGCCCATCTTGTTCTTACTCTTTATTAAAAAATTATTATTCAGAGCTTTGCGATTTACATTCTTACAAATAGTTGTAAAAATTTGTGTCTATATATGTGTGCTTTTTTTATACACGTGTCTATTATATTATATACATATATAAACTTATATAAGAACTTTTCAAATATTTAATTCATTTTGCGATAATAATTGTGCACGACTAATAATTTTTTTCTTTGCCAGTAAAATCCGAGGTAATATTTTGCGCAATAAGTTCTTCTAATTAAATTTATAGCCAGTTGTTGGATTTTATTTGTCCAGTATTTGTACACATTTCATAATAATCATTATGACCTAATTTTTCGAAGACCATAACTCTTTTTATATTTAACTCTTTTTTATATTTAGCATAGTCAACTCCGTCAGAAAAATATACCTTCGATGTTTGACACGTGTAAAAGGGTTCGTTACACACAATAAATCAAACAGGGCGACGTGAGATAACGTAATGTCTCATATATTTAACATAAATTAGCAACGTGGTTTCTTATATATTGCAGCGCGCAAGAAAAAATTCAAAGTTTAGCCCGTTAACACATATTCTTTGTTTTGAGAGGCTTCAGAGAATTACAATGATAAACCGCGCTTTGCGACAATGTGCTGTCACCATTGCGTTAATATACGCGACTGCAGTTGGTAATTATTAACTTGTAATAGTGAGTGTGGTTGTGTTAATGATGAAGAAAATACAATTATTTTAGATACCCATCGATGATTTCCTTCATTGAAATTCAAAGATCTCAATTAAACAGCAGTCTTAAGAGAATTCTTACATTATAGTGCAGAAATATTTTATTATATATATTATTTTTGTCTTGTTTAAACACAAGTAATATTGATGTAAAAAAAATTAATCAAATCTATTTCTTCGTAGACGGACAATCTAAGGAGGGAGCAGTTTCTAACTTGCAGAGCATCTTTTTACGTATTTATGGGTACTCATGTTTGTAGTACTTTTGATTCCTTTTATTACTTTTTATCGCTTGAAATTAAATTCTCGAGATAAAAGAATAAATTGCATTTCTTAAACGATATCTTGTTTTATTCAAAATAAGTTTCCGATAACTTTATTTCCGGAAATCGATCCAAATATTGATCTCTTTTTAGAACCACGTTGCATGAATATGTCGATTACCCGTTGGAGAATGTCAACGCGATCACATCTCGAATTGACAACAGTAAGCCAACGGTAATGTACGTTCACGGCTTCACGGAAAATGTGGAAAGAAAGAGCGTGCAAACGGTAGTGCAAGGTAATACTTCGATATATAGCATGCATTATAAAAAGCATTTAAATTACTTTTATCTTTTCAGCTTACTTGGATAGACGCGATCACAATATTCTCGCGGTAGATTACGGTAAATTAGCGAACGACTCGTATGTAAATTTAGCGATAAATGCACCTCTCATTGGAAAAGTTCTCGCGACGCTTTTCAATGAGATGAAGAAATCTGGTGTTGATACGGAAAAATTACACATCGTCGCACACTCCATGGGCAGTCAGATTGCTGGTTATATCGGCAGACAAGTCAACTTTGATATTCCTAGAATTACAGGTGAAAATTCATAAGTTTTTATTAATTAATTTCATCTGAATTTTATTTCTGTATCGTTGTTTAATATAACACTAAGATACGTTTTGTACAGGTCTGGACCCGGCCGGTCCATTTTTCAATGTTCTCCTGCCTAGTCTTTCGTCCAACGCTGCCCGCTTTGTGGACACCATACACACAGATTATGGAATTTATGGTGTTGCCAAGAACACGGGCACAGTGGATTTTTTCCCAAACGGTGGTACACGCATACAACCTGGCTGTCCGAAACATCCCACATTCTACAGTAACGACGGTATACTTTTTCTCTCTTACAAATAAACCTGCAAATATTTTTCACATCTCGATTTTCAAGATCACATTTTTTATCGTGTTTCAGATTTCTGTAGCCACAATCGTGCCTGGAAATTGTATGCCGAGTCTTTAATCAATGAATCTTCATTCTTGGGCGTGCAATGTTCTTCGATCTCTCAATTCACTTCCGGCAATTGCAATAATAATACACAGATCTTCATGGGATATGCCACTCCACGCAGCGCGTCAGTAAAAAATTCTGTATTTTAGAGAAATAATTCAAAAAACATTATCTTGTAAAATTGCATTCTGGTAAAAAGTTTTCTTAAAATTTGTCATATAATTCTTCAAGACTTCTTTATAGACTTAATAAATTGTTAGAAAATTTCTCATAAATTTTCTACGAATTGTAACACTTTTCAGAAATGCAGAAAAAATTTACATTTTCTCTAAAATTCTTTTATATATGTACATGAAATGTAGAGCATTCTAAAATTAATCATTGAACAGCTCCATAAGAAAACTTACGAAATCGGAAGAAGTAAAAATATTTTTTTAGGAATTTTTACAAAATTATGAGAAAATTCTTCAAAATATTATGAGATATTATAAGAATTCTTTCACCATTTCCGATCTGTAAGACACTACGAAATACCTGCCTTTTCTGTTTTTCCAGGCAGGGAAAGGTCTATCTCATAACGAACGATCGAAGCCCTTTCGGATTGAGCAAGCAAGGGGCATTCATTTCGACGAATTAATTCCACGTTGAGAATACAAAAGGAATGCCGCAACATTATTAGGAAAAAAACTGTGAATTCTTTTATTAATACGAAAGAAGGAAAACAATTAGAGAGAGGAAGAGTATATTGGCCTGCAACACGTACTCTTTCTGTGATGCTACGTTTATTATATATTAATGGATAATCGAAGGCAATGTCTTACTTTATTTCTTATGATCACAGAGTTGTCGTCGCTTTTTGATATCTAGACATCTCTGTTTCCCATTGCACATAGCAATGCTGTTAATTCGTTATCCAATTTAGCACTTGTCGCATTACTACGGTCCTTGATGCATATTATTCTCGTAATACACATTTAAATGTGTTGAAACTGCAAACGCTGGTAATTTTAAGTTTCGAGAAGTAATTAAAGTACGTAGATTAAGAAATATTCCAACGCTGAGATCCGAGGCTGCCGTATATCGATCGCGACGATGACAGCGAAGTAGCGAACGTAGCAAATTTATAGTAACGTTAATTTTTAAACAGGACAGAACTACCGCATCTGTGGCGTGCCTCTAAGAGCGTACGATAGGCTTTGTAAAATTACATTTGATATTTCTTGAAGCGATTACATAAAAAAAAAAACTTATTTGTGCATGAATTATTTATAACGAAAGTCAAAGTAATTCCTAAGCCAGAGAGAATAGGGGAGCAATATAACCGTATGGAAAACCAACGCTGACTTGAGAATCGCAATATAATAGCGTTCTCAGGCCGTTGTCCCATAAGAAATACTTTTATCGAGATCTACTTCAGGATCGTCGAGACCTTCCTTTAGATCTTTAACCGCGAACGATGCATACTCTCCCCTTGTCTTTCGCGTTGTTGACGTACACCGGATACTGGCGACCGGTCAACTTAACATCCGCCAAGTATTGGACGTACATCATTTATTCTATCGCGATGAACTTTCTACTTTATTCGTTCACGTTTTGCGGTTTGGTCGACTGCTTCATGGTCGAGGATTTCGAGATGTTCATCGAGAAATTCTCGCTGTTCCTGTCGATACTCGGCGTAAGTTGCAAAGTGACGAATCTGACGCTTCGTCGGGACGAGATTATCGGACTCGCCGATATGCTGCTGAAGGATATCTGCGTACCCAGGGACGATCGAGAAGCGGATATTCAGCGACGCTTCGATCGCAGTGCGAAGTGCGTATTGTTGAATTAAGTTCTGTAAGAACTACATTTGAATTTTCCCATAGAGTACAGAAATTTGCAACTACATTACAGTAACGTTGCAGTATCGTACATTGCAGTGCAATATTGTAAGAACATTGTATAAACAAAAAGTTACAATGTAGTTTGAACAATATTATAGCAGTATTTCAAAACTATTGTGAATAATCTTTTAAATTATTCTATATAGCAGTACATATTTGTTTTTGCGTACGAATGAATTTATCATTTACATGACGTATAATTTTTACAGCAAATTTCAAATTTGTTTTTGTATATTTTTCCTCCAATATAATATATAACTTAAATATACTTCATTTATTATTTTTAAAATAAGACCATAAATTGGAAGTCGAAAACGAGAACATTTTAAATCCTTTTGCTTTCTCATAGAGAAAGCTTTGTGTGCAAATAAAAATTCTGGAGTAAGCAATTTTTAAAATGCACCTTAACTCATAAAGCCTCTTCTATGAGGTTGCCCAAATTTTTAATAATCACTTGCCTTCATGATGACGAAGTATGTCCAAATTTCCAATTTGCATTTTTACAAGTTAGAATGAGCAATGTCCAAATTTTTAATTTGCACATTAACTCACAAAGCTTCCTCTATGAGGAAGCCAAATTTGAATAGACAACTTGCCAAAATGTTAATGTTGCATTTTACAAATTTCCAATTTGCACCTTATAAATAAAAAACAACTTGCAAAATGCTGATGCTGCGTTTTGCAAATTTAAAATTTGCACCTTTAAAATACAAAACAAAGTCCAGATGTTGAGGAAGCAATGTGCAAATTTCCAATTTGCACCTTTTTTGCTAAAGTTTAGTAGCAAGGTCGATGCCATTATGTTTGATAAGAATACAATTTTCTTCGTACGGATATTAGACATAAAAGATTTATTTTTGTAACGGAACGGCACGTGTCAATAATAAATTGTTTTTTAAGTACTACATATAGATTTATTTAATTATACAAGATCTAATAATCTCTATTTAACCATGTTCGCACCGCTCGTGTTTCTCCAATGTTATCTCAATATTCTCTATCATTTCTCTAGGATAATCACCATATTTTGCGAGATATTAAACGAGTCGACCACTTTCTTCGGTGCGATCGCTCAATTCCTATACTTCATCAACACTCGGACCTTACTTATGTTCGAATGGGTGCCCGCTTACTGGGCGACTATGTTCCACCAGACCATCGGGCTGATGGTCTGCGCGAACGCCAGCGTCGCCCACGAGACTCTCATCTCCGGTTTTATGATCCAGACCTGCGCCCAATTGGATATACTCTGCCATCGCTTTCGCACATTGCCGGATTCGTTGCGGGAGGCCCGGAAATGCAGCACCTCGAAGGACGACTTCAAAGCGCGAGAACGGCGACTGATCCGCGAACTCGTCCATCATCATCGCCATGTGTATAGGTAAAGGTAAAAACTTATTTGCGCGTGAAGAAAAAGAAAAGATCAGTATATTAACGGGGTGGTAATGGTGCAGATTTGCGGAACGCATCAATACGGTGTTCACACTTATGATTTTCTTACAATTCACCGTAAGTTCGACAGTTCTCTGCCTCAGCATCTATAAAATGTTGACGAAGGACTTGATGAGCATTGATTTTGCGTGGAGCTCAACGTATCTCGGTTGCATGCTTATGCAGATTTATTTGTATTGCTGGTTCGGTAACGAAGTGACACTGAAGGTTAGTCATTAAAAAATTTGTTAAACTTTCAAAGCCGCGACCTACTTCGAGAAATATTTCACTTATTTGAAAAGCCAGTTTAGTGAACTTTTTTCAATTAGTTTATTCCACAATGCATAGAGCACGGAAATTGGAAGCGCGGTTTACGAGATGGATTGGCCAATGCTTCCTACTGACTTAATGAAGACTCTTTTGGTAATAATTACGCGATCTAAGAGACCAATCAAGATAACCAGCGGATACATAGTTACCTTGTCCAACGAGTCATTTATGAAGGTCCATAAGATGATATGGCGATGATATATTAACGGCACTAGAAATATTTTTAGTGAATTCGGCACGATCATATTTTCGTTTGCACATGCAGCTTTAATTCTTATCTTTTCAGATTATCAAAACATCTTACTCAGCGTATAACATCTTGTAGGAGTCTTAGTGCAAGCGGAAGCAATCATCTTTTCGATCTCTATTCTAAAGAAACTAACTACATAATTATTTTCACATGAATAATACCACTTAACGTATAAGCATACTGCGGGGATATTGTGAGTCCGGTTCCAGATCACCGCGATAATAAAGCGAATCGCACGAAATTTTCGGTTTTCTAGTTTTCATGTAAAAGATATGTTATCACTATATTGTAGTCTGTTAAGTGTGCAATGATATTATATTTAAGAAGACTTAATGTACATAACACACTTAAAAAATTGCTTATTGTTAAAAAGGAAAAATATGTATAAGTGCTGCTCTAACAAACACTCACGTTTTTTATATTAATCAACAAAATTATTATAAAAATAAAATCTTATAAAAGCACAGTACATTGCAGTGCAATATTGTAGAAACATTGTATAAACATAAATTTACAATGTAGTTTGAACAATATTATAGCAATATTTCAAAACTATTGTGCACAATCTCCCAAATCATTCTATATGTATAGCAGTACATATTTGTTTTTGCGTACGAATGAATTTATCATTTACATGACGTATAATTTTTACAGCAGATTTCAAATTTGTTTTTGTATATTTTTCCTCCAATATAATATATAACTTAAATATACTTCATTTATTATTTTAAAAACTAGAACTTAAATATACTTCATTTATTATTTTAAAAACTAGAACAACACAAGCGCGCGCTTCGCGCGCGCCATTGTTCTTCCACATTATATTACATAAACTGTCAAAATAACCCTCTTAAATACAAACTGTCGAAACCGCAAGTCGAAGTGAACGACTCGCAACGAGATCGACACTCGATCGAGTTTCGAGAGAGCCAATCGGCATCGCGGAAAAGCGACAACAATGAACTCGCAATGCCTTTTTAAGGGCCAGTTTCACAAACATCGGTTAACTGTTAACCAGAGTTTAGTTAACTCCCTATCTTTTTCTATCTTATTATCTAAGAAGAGACAGAGTATCAATTAACCTTCGGTTAGCAGTTAACCGACGTTTGTGAAACTCGCCCTTAGATAGGGATAAGATAAGACCATAAATTGGAAGTCTAAAACGAGAACATTTTGAGTTCTTTTTTGCTAAAGTTTTAGTAGCAAGGTCGATGCCATTATGTTTGATAAGAATACAATTTTCTTCCAAAGTACGGATATTTTAGACATAAAAGGTTTATTTTTGTAACGGAACGGCACGTGTCAATAATGTCCTTGTTACAGTACAAATTCTCTAACCTTCTTTAAGTTTTTTTCGTCATCAAAATGCGCATACATCGTACGATACAACACCTTCGCCGAGAAAGGAGCAAATCGATTTGCACGCTCTTGTAGCATTTTTTCTTTGCTGGAATTCGTAAAGAATGCAGTGTCGGATATGCACTTTATCTGTTGCCATTTTCGACTGTACTGAACTGAATACTTTTGAAGGATACGTTGGGCCTTTCGCCAAACTATATGTTCTTTTTAATATATCCCTACTGAAATTACCCGATTCAAACCGATAGATATCGCATTGATTTCTATAAAAATTAATCGGTTTCAATTCGATATTAATCGGGCCAATCGGGCACCGGATTGGTGAAAATGCAAGATCAATCGGATTCAATCCGTAATCTGATTCAATCCGGTATTTCCAGATAGAATTGAAGCAGTAACAATCGGTTTCTATCGGATTTTCTGACGAAGTCTAACAATCGTTTTTAATACAACTTTTCCGGAATGACTTGAATCCGCACCAATCGGTTCCAGTCGGCGAATTTATATCTGAATTGTTTATTGTTTTTAATACAATTTTTCCAGATTGACTTGAATCCGCGCCAATCGGTTCCAATCGGCGAACTTTTATCACGGATTGAAACCGATAGACGCGGATCAAAATCTATCTGGAAATTTCTGATTGAACACGATTCAAATCTGACACTATCCGCGTCAATCGGTATTTTCCGCATCAAGAATCCAGATTCATGCGGATTCAAAATTTTCAATCGGTTTTAATCGGGTATTTTCAACAGGGATGCCAACATTGTATAAACACAAAAGAGCGGGAAAATCTATTCAATTTAAAATTGATTTCATAACTGCTTAAAATAATTTGGATTATTCATTTGTACACCTAATAAATAAATAATTTAAGGTTGAGGTTAATTTAAATTAATGTGACAAGATGTGAGAGGGAGTAAAACATCTTTAACAAACAATTTCACATTGTAATGTGAAATCTCATTGCTTAATCAATAAAGTTTTACAATAAAATGTGGAATTGTATGCTAAAAAACATCTTTCTCTCTCACTCACATTTTGTTACAGCTTAACTTAGCGATATAAATTTAAATTATTTAAAATATCAGATAAATAGGTTTATTCTAACTTTTCAAATTGCTACATTAATTTTTTACAAGAACGTATTACACTTTTGTTATCTTATTTCATGTCTTTTAGAAAATATACGTTGATACCATAAAAGAGAAGGAAAATCTTAATTTGAATCACGAGGAAGTTTATGCTTTTACTTTACATATCTTCGTCGTCTTTGTCTTCATTGTTTTCTCTTTCTTTCCGTGGTTAATGTCTGAAATAAGGAAAATGTCTTCAAACATCTTTAACATACAATGTGGAATTGTATGCTAAAAATATCGGAGTATAAAATTCGGAGTATAAAACGCGGATTGAGGCTCCGACGCCACTCGCACTAGCCAACTTCTTATTGTAATAATATAAATTGAACGTTTACACTGTAAAAAAGTTACATGTAAAATTACAATTATTATAGTAGTTAATATTGGGACCATATTAAAGGTATGTATTTCCATACGTCAATAAATTTACACCTTATAGCAAGGATGGGCAAGTGGGCACCGCCCGAGGGCGTCCAACTGCGCCCGCGGGCAATAGCTGTGAGTGTTGGGCAATAGTGGGGAAGTTTCGGGAAGTGAAAAAGAGCGTCGCGCTTTAGAAGTATAGTTTTAAAGAATGTATCATATTGTATAAATTTTTTTCAACTGAAGTATTTATTATTATAATTTTTAATACTTATTTAATAAAAATCTAATGCAAACAATTTTAATAAAAATAAATATTATATGAAAAGATGGCCTTTTCTAATTTAATTGTTGGATACATATCGGACCTGATTCACGACGTTATTATTTATTTAAAAAACTTGGCGCTGCTATCTTTTAATAAAACATTTATTTGTATTAAAGTTGTTTGCATTATAGTTTTATTGAATAAGGATTAAAAATTTGTCTCATTAATGTTATTGTCTCCTTTATTTCCTTCGGTAAAACCTTATGCTCAATTGTTTGGATATAACATTTTAATATCAAAAATAATTAAGTATTTAGCTTGTATAAATATCTATTTTAATTGGCGCAATTTGATGATATCATTACTTTTGTAGAAACAATAAAAATGCATTATTTTTCTAACAAAATATATTCAAATAATTAAATTATAATATATACTTCTTGATTGGATGGCGCTTACACTTGGCGTCTTTTTTACCTTTTTTTAAAAAAAAGGTTGTATGATAAACGCCGGTACGCTCAAGAGTTCAAATTTCAAATATATTAATATTGTAAAAGATAATATTGTACTAATGTTCATAATTATATCACGTGTTTTCTTTGAGAACTCACACGCTAAAGTGTTCTATCTTTGTTGCTCATTATATGTCAAAGAAAGTCGCTTTCAGTGTGTGAGAGTTAAAAACAATGCAGCCGAACTTGATTATAGACGTGGTGGCGGGCAACCGCGGGCGCCCACTGCCCGATATCAGCATTTTGCCCATTCCTGCTTAATAGATAAAATTATTACCTTATATAGTAAGTAAACTGCTTGCGTTTAATTGTGTAAATTTTATAATTTTTTGTAATTAATTTTGGTAAATTTGTAAATATTGTAAAAAATTTTTGAAATTTTGTACATAATTCAAGAAGCAAATAAAGTTATTAATATACATAATTGATGAATATATAATAAAATAAAAAGTTAGTTTAATGTAATTCTTCGCCAAGATCACGGTAACAGTGACAAAATTTATTACTCGCTAGACTTTTTACAAGAAATAATTAATGGCATTTTTCTATATGTATGTTAACAGAATTTACGCAAGAATGGCAGCACATGTAACACCGACAGGAGCGCTATTTGAGGATGATACTGTTGACGAGTCGCAACTGACCGAGGAACCCAAGGAGAAACGTAAATATGTTAAGCATATTGTCTGGAGAAATGTGGCGATTTTCTCGTTCCTACATCTCGGCGCTCTTTACGGACTTTACCTCTCGTTCACGTCCGCCAAGTTGCTGACCACCGCTTTCGGTGAGTGATGCAATTTTATTGCACGGTATAACGTATCTTTTACTTCCTTATAAAATAATTGTATGATGAAATGATACTATTGTTCACCAAGGAAATTAAATTATATAAAAGTACGCAGTCGGTACAATAAGTTCCGGGACTACCTCGAAATAAAACACGTAACGATGCCAAAAAAATGTATCAACACGTTAATTTTCTCCATACATCTCTTCCCTCGCCATACACTCGCGGCTCCGGTCGTAGAAGCTCTGGACTGATTTGGCAAATTCGCTTGAATCGATGCCACATCCTCAAAACGCTCCTCTGTGAGGGCAGATTTGAGTTTGGGGAAGAGCATGAAGTTCACGCAAAGCTCTTCAGCGTGAACAATTAACGGGATGTTAAAATTAGATCAGTTGAAACATCTGAAACACTCTTTATGTAGTTGAGTCTTTTTCGAACCAGTTTGAACAACAACACACCTATTGACTCTTGTATAATTTGATTTAGACTACCTAGTTTACGTTATTATAGAAATTACTATGTTGCGCTCACTATAATAGATTTTTCTAAACTTGTCACTATACATATGTACTAGTATGTTGCGACATTCGCATTACGAGTAAATTTTCTGTTCCGCGTTGTCAATTACATCTCTCGTAACGTAATTTGCCACGACAGTCACGCCATGAAAATTTGTGGTTATTGGAACAACCATGTCTTCTAGCAAGCCATGTACATGTAACATGATTTTCTGGATTGCAGCAATTTTATTGTATCAATTGAGCATCTTGGGAGTCACAGCTGGGGTTCATCGGCTCTGGTCACACCGAGCCTACAAAGCCAAGTGGCCCCTTCAGTTGTTACTTATGATCTTGAGCACCACAACGTACCAGGTAGGTGAATCTCTCAGAAACTGAGGACTTAACAAATAAAAACATCTAACTGAAAAATGAAACGTCGAATAATTCGTGAGTATTTCTTCCGTGGCAAATTTCAATGACAGTATTGTAGCATTGAAAATTGATTAGACGTATATATTAATGATATAGCAATTGGTCAAACGGGAATACGATAGAATCGAATTTTTCCTACAGTGAGGTATAAAGAATTCATGTTGATACGGTGATGCCGAGCACAAAACATGCGTCTCGTGTAAAAATGGAAAAATAACGTAATCTAATTGCGTGTTATTAAATGTTAATTAACCAAATGATCTGTTAGGAAAAAATACATCACTCTCCATAGGCTCGAGAATGTAGACACGTATTGTCCGGACGGTACTATAGGTATGTACATATCCCAGTAAGAAATGATTCGTCGATCGATGTCGAAACGATGTCGACTCGACATCAACGCCGTCAAATTGATGTCGATTCGACATCGTTTCGAAATCGATCGACGAATTATTTCTCACTGGGATGTGAGCGTGCATATTCATTGACTGACATTTTCATTTACTGAAGTATAAATATTCGAAGAAATACGCAAATGTGGAGGAACAATACAAAATTCGACAGAAATATATTAACATCGCTTTACGCGAATGAAATAAATTAACGCCTTCTATACATATGTATATCGGCATCATTCAAGAGGTTGCTTTTTATCGGAGCTAGGACGCCGTGATCGACTGGTCTAGAGACCACAGGCTTCATCATAAATACAGCGAAACCGATGCCGATCCGCACAACTCTAAAAGAGGTTTCTTTTTCTCGCACATTGGCTGGCTGCTCTGTAGAAAACATCCGGAAGTCAAGGAAAAAGGCAAAGGTATAGACTTAAGTGATCTTAAGAGCAATCCTATATTGGCATTCCAAAAGAAGTACGTATATTATCAATATCGAAGTAAAGCCTATCACACAATGCGAGGCAACAGGCAACAGGAATAGGGAATAGAATTTTTGACGCGTTGGATTCGTCGGAAATTTTCCTTCAACCAATCCAACGCGTCAAAAATTCTATTCCCTATTCCTGTTGCCTGTTGCCTCGCATTGTGTGATAGGCTTAATGCCTTGTTGAGAAGTATCTAGAATGAGATTAATTGTTCGTTTAAGATATTATAACATATTGATGCCATTGCTGTGTTTTATTTCGCCAACTCTTATTCCGGTCGTGTGGTGGAACGAAACATGGATAAACGCTTTCTATATTCCGGCCATTCTTCGTTATGTCTTGACGTTGAATATAACGTGGCTGATAAATTCTGTCGCTCATACAGTGGGCAACAAACCCTATGACAAGTAAGTATCTATTAGTTAAAATAGTCTTAGGAGTGTAATTCTTTAATTTCACATTCTCATAATTTATGTCGATGAGGACAATTATCAATCTTTCCATTATTTACTTGTCAAATTTTTAATGAATTTTCTGAAAGATTAATTTTTGCGACAGCGTGATCGACATTTAATTACAGTTGCTTTCTCATCTGGTATAGATACATCTGTCCAGCGGACAACAAAGGTGTTGCCATATTTTCCCTCGGTGAAGGTTGGCATAATTACCATCATGTTTTCCCCTGGGATTACAAGACTGCAGAGCTCGGCGATTACAAATTCAACACCACGACAGCTTTTATTAACTTTTTTGCAAAGATTGGCTGGGCCTACGACTTGAAGAGCGTGTCCAACGATATGATAAGGAAACGAATGGAGAGAACAGGTAACAGTAGCCATAACTTATGGGGTTGGAGTTCACGACGAGGTTCACACGCAGGTGGAATAGATGAAACGAAACTTATATAATAAAAAACTATATACACGTGTAAAGTTATAAATAAAGAGTATGAATACATTTTTATAATCTTTTATAATTTGCAAGCTCTTACGTAAGTGACCACAAAAACAGCATTAACAACATATTATCTGGAATTTATCTAGATAAGCCGCCACATAATTTTATCTTTATCTAGATGTATTTAAAACAATTTCATCTTCATCTCATTCAACATACATTTAAATATTTTTATTTCACCTTTATCCAGCTAATTTTTAAATTATCTGGGCACAACACAGGATACTGTGTATACGTTTGTAAGACTCTCGATTAAGGTTCTTTTTTCATGTTTGTTCATTTTGGTTTCAACATATTTTTGCACGATTATTTTGATTCCATATATTAATACTATTTTAGAAGGTCCAGCACGGAATAGAATTTTGTAATGTCGGTGATGTTCTAAATTAAAAGCTCTGTACTCGCTCGCTAAGCTACTTCCTTTTGGGATATAAAATTAGCTTTCGAATTAGACACATTATTGGACAGCTCGTATCATTTGTACTTTTTATCACATAATAGTAACAAGAACATGTACATAATTGTAAAGGAAAGTTCCCAATTATGAGATAGGATCCTAATATGTTTTAACGGGGTTTCTGTTAGATTAATGCATCATCGGTTGATTCCAATATGAATTTATTATCCTTGAAGCGAAATCTGTTTAGCGGAAAATTCATTGTTAGATTGTATAATCCTTGCGAAAAAAGATTTGTGATTGAATTTTGGATGTTGAAAACCTGCTATTTTTTTCATATTAGAATCCTGTTTCATAATAGAGAACTTTTCTCTACATGTGATTTAACTATTAGTTAACTTAGCAAAATGTCGAAACAACCACAGCCCTATTATTTATTGAATGAGTATTTAAAGAGAGACTGCTTAGAAAGTCTTGTTGGATATAATCTTTTGTACTTCTTAATATTTGTGCATTATTGGTTGCATGGAATTTCAACGGCCCCCAGTGAGAAATGATTCGTCGATCGACGTCGAAACGACGTCGAATCGACATCGACACCGTCGAATTGACGTCGATTCGACATCATTTCGACGTCAATCGACGAATCATTTCTCACTGGGGGAATACAAGCTCGGATTATGAGCGCCACTTTGTGAAGGACTTTTGTTAAAACTTTCTAATATATCACGTTTCTCCAAACAATAATTGGAATGCATAGAAAATATTGTCTCTTTTATCTATTTGTATTATAAGTTGCATAGGTTTAGTTTACATGAATGCATTTAATTTATCCGTTTAAGTTGAACTCATATAAATGCTAAAGCTGAACGGTGTCATTGCCACCTACTGCCCATTAAAAGTAACTTTGATATTAAGAAATTCACATTTTATTAATAGGATTTCATTTTTAATTACTTTAATTGTATTTTTAGTGAGTCTTTACAATTTAGAAAATTCTGTTATACTCGTATGTCTCATACGGCTAACACTTGCTAAACGTTGTAATGACTTTACCAATTGTTTTTACCATGTGTATTTATTATGATAACAAACGTCTAGAGCTTTAGTTCTCGATGATCTCTCGACGTAGTCAAGTCACGATTGTGTATAATAAGCGTTTAGCATTTCGGACTCGTTCTGATGACGGTGAACCACAGTTAACTGCTCAGAAGTATACCACTTAATCTTCATAAACTTAATCTATACATATAAGGTGAGTCGTTATAAATAAAATATATCTATCTCGTGTTGAAACTAAAATACAATGTTTAAAACATTTCAAAGAAAGAGTATAACGAACATAGCTACGTTCTGTCAATCACTCTTCAAAGTTATCGAGGATAATATATTTTTTGAAATTAAGAAATGAAATAAATTTTATAAATTTGGATATTGGCTAGAGTCTTTCGCTTTGAAAAAAATGCGTTTATATAAAAATTTATGCAAAACTGGAATCTTGCGCAGATTATATTATTACCCTAAATATTTGTAGAAGTATACTTTCTCATGTAAAATTGTATGTTAATTTTTCACATTGTTGTTTAACGTATAATAAATTCATTAAAATGTCTAAACGAAAGATTTCTGATTCATGTAAATAATACATATATACAAGAAAGATCCCACATTTTCCGCGTACCCGAGATCACGAAACTATTATATTCCCAATTCCAAAAAGGTATAATTACTTGTACTTTACTTCGTTTCAGCCGCGCGTCTCAGGTTTCTCCTCTCTTGATTTTTCTTAAACGAAAAATAAGACTGATCATCCATATACTTGCCGGTTTCGTCGTATTTGCGTATTCCCCCCTGGATGTTCCCCCTTCTCTCCTTTCTCTTCTGCTCCAGTCGCTTTCCAAAGCTATGCTCCAGGCCTTTTGGGAAAACTCCATCGCGATTCAATGTAAAAGTTTCCTCTCGTCACGATAAACAAGAATACTTACGGATAGACGAATGAGCGACACAGAATCTGAACAGCTCATGCTAAGACTCGCTCGGGCTCGCGTTTATTCCGAAAAACAAGAAAGTGTCGCGCAGAAGCAAAGTGAGATTCACATAATAGCAATAGAAGCGCCAAGTGCTAACAATAAATCAAGAATCTAACTTCCTTAACATGATATTCAAAAGCACACTGTTCTACTCGATACTTTCTACCAACCGCAATACTTCGTTTCTATCTTAATTACTTTCTCGCAAAATGTAATTTGCAAACGTAGATATAAAATTATGTGTCATAATACGACAAACGATAAATCTTGTTTGGATTGAATGAGCCGGGACTCGTCTTGGCAAATTGATTGCTGTTGAGAATTGCAATATAAAAAGAATATTAAAAAATGTTCAGCAAAAGAATTGCAAATTCTCTTACTAATAATGAAGAAAAAAAAAAGCAACTGAGGGGAAAGAGTGTACTTTGCAGCGCGCATACTTTATGATACTACATATGTTTATTATATATTAATGGACGCGAAGGTAACGTCTTACTTTTATTTCTTGTAGCAACTGTGTCGTCGTCGCTATATTGTTCCGGGAAGTCCAGGCGTCTTATGTCTTCCGTCGTATGCAACAATGATGCCACCATTAATTCATTATCTAATTGGACATTTGTCACGTCCCTACGGTTCTTCATATTATTCTCGTAATTCGCGTTTAAATGTGTTAGACATGCAAAGCTGATAATTTCAAGTTTCGAGAAACAATTAAAGTACATAGATTAAGAAGTATTCCAGCAGTGAGATCCGAGCCTCCCGTATATCGATCGCGACGATGACAGGAGGGTAGCGAGCACAGCAAACTCACGCTGACGTTTATTTTTAAATAACGCGGAACTACCGTAACAGAGTGGCATGCCTCTAATAGCAATTGCCTTTGTAGAATTGCGCGTAATGTTTCATGAAACGATTAGAAAAAAAAAACTTATTTGTGCATGAATTACCTATAGCGGAAGTCAAAGTAATTCCTAGGTCAGGGAAAATATGGAAGCGATACAGCGGCATGAAATGCCAACGCGGAGAAATAAGAACTGCATTATAATAACATCCTTAGAACGTTATCTCATAAGAAATATTTTTATCGAGAATCTACCTTAAGATCTTCAGAGGCCTTCCTTGGGGAACTTTTAACCGCGTACAATGCACACTCTCCCCTTATCCTTCGCGTTGTTGACGTACACCGGATACTGGCGACCCGTCCACTTAACATCCGCCAAGTATTGGGCGTACGTCATTTATTCTATCGCGATGAATTTTCTACTTTATTCATTCACGTTTTGCGGCTTGGTCGACTGCTTCATGGTCGAGAATCTCGAGATGTTCATCGAGAAATTCTCGCTGTTCCTGTCCGTACTCGGCGTCAGTTGCAAAGTGACGAACCTGACGCTACGTCGGGACGAGATTATCGGTCTCGCCGATATGCTGCTGAAGAATATCTGCGTACCCAGGAACGATCACGAAACGGATATTCAGCGACGCTTCGATCGCACTGCGAAGTGCGTATTGTAAAATAAAGTTTTGTAAGAACTGCGTTCGGATTTTATATCATTGTTTTTTAAACCTCTTTTTTATAACAGAACAAGTATGCAAGAGAAACTTGAGGATTTAGTCAATTGATAGACTAAATGCTTGTGGAAATATTGATTTAAACAGAATCTAAAAGATCTCCGTTTAACCGTATTCACGCCGCTCCGATATTTTCTCAATATTCTCTATTGTTTCTCCAGGATAATCACCATATGCTGCGAGATACTAAACGAATCGGCCGTCTTCTTTGCTACCGTTGCTCAATTCCAGTTCTTCATCAACACTAGGACCTTACCTCTGTCCGACTGGGTGCCTTACGACATCTCGTCAACGACCGCTTTCTGGGCGACTATGTTGCACCAAACCATCGGACTGATGGTCTGCGCGAACGCCAGCGTCGCCCACGAGACACTCATCTCCGGTTTTATGATCCAGACCTGCGCCCAACTGGATATACTATGCCATCGCGCTCGCACATTGCCGGATTCTCTGCGCGAAGCGCGGAAATGTAGCGCCTCGAAGGACGACTTCAAGGCGCGAGAACAGCAATTGGTCCGCGAACTCGTCCATCATCATCGCTACGTGTACAGGTAAAAATAAGAGCTCGTCCACGCGTGTGAAAAGAAAACTCAGTACTGAAACGGATCGTAATCGTGCAGATTTGCGGAACGTGTCAACTCGGTGTTCACACTTATGATTTTCGTACAATTTACCATAAGCTCGACAGTGCTCTGCCTCAGTATCTACAAAATGTTGACGAAGAACTTGCTGAGCCTTGAGTTTGCGTGGAGTTCGTCGTACCTCGGTTGCATGTTAATGCAGATTTATTTGTACTGCTGGTTCGGTAACGAAGTAACACTAAAGGTCAGTCATTTTTAAGCTTTCAAAGCCGCGAGTAATTTCTTCCTCGAGGAATGTCAAAATCCGAGGGACAAGCCAGTCTGGTAAAGGTTTTTAAAATCATTCTGTTCGCAAATACATAGAGCACGGAAATTGGAAGCGCCGTTTACGAGATGGATTGGCCAATGCTTCCCGTTGATTTAATGAAGTCCCTTTTGGTGATAATTACGCGATCCAAGAGACCAATCACGATAACCAGTGGATACATAGTCACTTTGTCCAACGAGTCGTTTATGAAGGTGCGTATGATCGCGGTGACAAGGTGGCGATGCCTAAAAATACTTGTAATAAATTCAGCACGGTTATGTTTTGATTTGCATATGCCATTTTAATTATCTCGTTCTTTCAGATCATCAAGATATCTTACTCGGCATACAACGTTCTACAGGGGTCTTAATACAAGCGAGAGAAATCATCTTCGAGCCTCGCGTCCTAAAGAAACTTGGTGGCCAACTAACTATTCCACACGAATAATACCGCTTACAAATGTCGATAGCTATTTTCTTAAATATTCTTACGCGTGTGTCTTTTGCATAATCCAAGGGCGAGAGGGATCCCCCAAAAACGATTTCACTCTTGCCATTTAGGGCCAGTTTCACCAACGTTGTTTAAGCTGTGAGCTCAGCTTAATTCATTCTTTGCCTCTTTTCAGCCGTTACTTAAGAAGGAGACAAACGGGAATTAAACTAAGATTAAAGTTAAGCGACGTTTGGTGAAACCACGCCTTTGTTATCAGCCTTGAATTGGACGTGACAGCAGCAGCTCGCGGGAAGTCGGAAGTAATCATGAACGATGTCGCCGTGAGAAATGGCAGCCAGCTCGCGATAAATGTATTTCTGCTTGCACGTCGTGACGTATCCCTCGGCGATACCGTCGATTAACCTGCACTTAGCATCCTCCTCTCTGAAAATAGAACAGATTGCGACATTCCTCACAACGTTCTATTTTACTCTAGACCTACGATTTACATTCTATTCTATATACGTCTACTTCTATATATCTAAATTCTATTCTAATCTATATGCTCATTGTACAATTTTCTTATTCGTATTATATGTAAATATTAAAGAATTGTGAAATTTATAGCGACTTTTCTTCACTCACCTGCAAGTTTCAATTCGTAAACTCTGACGGAAATTCGTCTCATTCGACTGAAGGATGTACAGCCACTGATTTTTCATGTTTATACCCACTTTTGGAGTAATTAATTTCTCCTAGAATTTTATGCCGTTAATATTTTTTAGAACTACATATACGTCACATGCGATAATAGATCACAATTCAAAGATGATTTTACCGTGGACAGGCAAAGCGGTTCTTCTTCGACGTCGGATCGTGGCGCAAGTCCAATCTATCAACAAAAGAAAATCTCGAATCAACATTTCCGCCAATTACGAGAGCAACTCATAATTATGCGCCCACTAACAACGTCCTCTTGTGCGTAACTTAGCAGGCTGGAATTTTTGGCGATCATCCTGTTCACAAAGTCCTGAGGATAATCCGGGACATCCTCGCAGAAAGTCTGTCCCATGTGAGTGCAACGTGGCACTTGTACGTAATTATCGCCGCCACTTCTCGCTTGCCATAAATCCGAGGATCCAGGGCTGTTCTCGCTAGCGTATGTATCTGTAATTGCACCCAACAAAGTATGAAATTTAAACCAGGATTGGGAAGTAACTCGTTACTTGTAACGAAGTTACAGTTACAGTTACTTTTTTTGATGAATTTTAAATTAAATAACTTTTAACGGAGTATAATCGCGTTAATGTATAGCTAAAATATATTATTTTAGAACTTCACACGTCACCTTCAGGCTCGTCATACGATTCCTTGGCTGTTTCATAGGTAGCGGTTGTTGGGTTCGTCATTCGTCCGTCATTAACGTGATTATCGTAATACTGTCTATAAGAAAAATGCCCATGAAAACGTCCCCCAAGAGCAATCTGAAACGGAGAAATGCGTTTCTTTAATCCTCCCTTTTTCTCCAGCGCGCCACCATTTCTCCTTTACTGATGCAATATGTCGCAATAATGTCACGATTAATAACTTTAAAATCACATTTTGTTTTCTAGAAAAGAAAATAATTGATAACACATGATTTATCTTGAACGGGATCATTCGATATTACATATCGGAGAGATTGATTTTTTCGACAATCATGGTTTATCTGATTGCGCAAACGCGTGTTTTACTTGTATCGCAGTTAGGTATCGCCTTTCCCTTTATTCTTACTTATTTCTTTTCGTTGATTATAAACGCCACTACATTAATTAATATTTTGACATTAGACCTACCAATTAACACCGTTAAACAGCGTAGCAACATCTCATTGAAGACACAAACCGCACCTTCAACTATCCAATTATACCTTCAAAGAAATAACGTTTCACGTACCGGTATAACGACGAGAAGCTCCGTCAGAAGTGCTACAGCAAGTTTTCCCATTATTAAAACTCTTCTTTTCACTTACTCGTACGATACGATACGGGTAAAAATAACGAAGCAAACTGTGCAAGATATCAATGCTACACAGAAGCAGACGGTGACTACGCAGCTTGCGAGCAACTCTCGAGCAACTCTTCGTGGACTACTGATTTGGATACATGACGACTTCCGATCGCAAGCCGATGTCGGTTTTCTCTTATCGGCCGCATTATTATCTGCTTCCGAGCTGCTTTATCTACAATCATCAATCGCGTCAGAGACTGGTCGTTTGCATTTTTTTCACGATGATATAGATTAGCTTATCGTAGGATGGGAAAACTGATCCGACGAATCCGGCGAGGAAGATGTACTCGTCCAGCGAGAAATGAAAAACTTAAAGGAGCGTACGGTAGTTCCCCACTGACGGAATAATGTCACAAAACAATTGGTTACAAGGTACCTTTTTATTATCTTCTGATATCAATTTCTTGGATTAATTTCTCGAAATTACGAAATTTACATTGTTGAAACTTGGAGGACAAACTTGGTGAGTGCCGAATTCATTGTTTTTCGTTTAATTTCCTGTACCGTTCAGCTTACCAGCTTCAGCTAAAATAAATTGTTACTGGTATGTTAAGGCCTGTGTCCACGATGCTAGAACTTGGTCCAAGTTCTAATTTCGAGAAATGTGTAGCCAATCAACTTGCAGCTTTTATGGAATAGCTGCAAGTTGATTGGCTACACATTTCTCGAAACCAGAATCGTGATTCTAACTTCGTGGACATAGGCCTTTGGCAGTTTGCCAGCAAATGCAAGCAGATTATTACAATAGATTGACTACATCAACCACTTAGGCTATTCCGTTAGCAGCTCTGCTATTCTTTCGATAAAATTTGCGGCAGACACAAAATGTGTTTTCAATATGCCTTCAAGAGGTTCGGTCGTCCATCTGTTCACGTAAAATTTCACAGCATTTTTTCTATACACGCTCGTACATGTGTAGCACATGGAAAATAATGTATTAACAACATTAGTTTCATTAAAATAATCTTGTTAATTTAATAACAGTATTAGTGAAGTAAATAATATTTTATTAAACCACACACAAGAGCATGACATACTTGTTTTATCAATAGTGTTATTAAGCTAACAAGTTTATTTCTTATTAAAAGTTACGATTAAAAGGATAACGTTAACTTTTTTCCGTGTAAAATTAATTTTCAATATCATTTCATTAATCATTTCATTTCACCTATTCTCAAAATTGCGATTAATATTTCATGCAATTTATTCTTAAGAGGAAATCTTTAATCTGACAATACAAAATATATGAAAAATACAAAACTGTACAAGTACGTTGGCAATAAAGCAGCAATTTACAAATTGGTAGGTTGCCACAAAATTTCCGGGCGATACGGAATTATATTTATATAGGTCAGTTCGAGATTTTAAATATACATGTATGACCATTGTTCTTATCTTCAGTAAATGCGTCAAAGTGGATTTGTGTTACTAACCGCGAACAGGAAGTCCGATGACAGGTCCTTGCGATAGATTTGCACAGTTGTTCGTTGGTACAAAACCTAACGATTCATTTACGCTTTCACAGCTTCCACGCATTTTTTACGAGATATAGCTCTTTACACAAGATATGTCCATTATTTCCAATTTTTTAAAAATACCAGACTCACACTTCAAGAAAGATTTGTCCGTTTCTGAAAATGTTTAATAAAGCCTAAGATTTGAAAGATATTCTTTATATCCGAAAGTTTTTTTTAAAAGCTGTAAGAATTTTGAAATAGAAATTCAACCTTGTCATATCGAGAAGATAAGTGCTATTAAAGAAATTCGCGTAGCTATTAAAATTTAGACTTTTATCACCTGAGGTCGGCCACTTCTCGTGAGTATTCGACGCAAGATGGCGACGCTAGTTACCACGTAATTCGAAAAGATCGAGCGAAGGAGCTTCTTTAGCGGAAAAGCGGA